CCAGAGCCCTACACAAGCTGGGCAAGTACTCTACCACTGAGATACATCCCTAGCCCTTTTTATATTTTATATTGAGTCAGGGTCTTACTAAATTGCTCAAGATTAACTCAATATTACCATCATCCTGCCTCAGCCTCCTGAGTAGCTGGGATTACAGGTGTCTGCTGGAAATGGCTCAATATTTAGAGAAAATGTAGAAAGATTAGCAACTCCTCTAAGTTAAAATAAACACTCTCTACACACTGACTTAGAAGCACAACAAAATACTCAGCTCGAATAAATAATGGGAAATCCAATCCTTTTTAAAAAGCTTCTGGACAGGTCCAATAAGTCTTCCATAATGAAAAACACACACACACATGCAAGCACACAGCTTAAATGTCTACTCACCATAATTCAGTGTCACCCAGATCTTCCAAAGGGGTAGCAGACAATTGGAGCACATTAGATAAAGAAAAGGGAAGGCATGGTACAGGTGATTAACAATAATACAGCAGGTGCCAGGTACTTTGAGCTCAGAAGGATGGAGTGTAACCACCATTCTCTTCTCATTGAGCTTAGAGCCATAACAGTGATACTACAAATCACACATGAGTTTCCAGTGTTGAAGAACAACTTTCTTATTTCTGGAGTTTCAAGAAATTGCGGAGTCCCAAGATGAAGTTTTTTGGTGTTGAGAGATCAAACCCAGGGCCTCACTCATGCCAGGCAAGTGCTCTAACACTTAGCCATATGCCTAGCTCCAAGATGAGTTTCGATAAAATCAACCCACAGCACTGATACCATGGACAGACGGCACACAGCTTAGATTTCACCATTTTGTATAACAGACTGTGAACCAGATTTTATTATTGCTACAATTTCTCACAATCTGGGAACATGTGTGTTTAACCATTTTTTCATGTAATACTTAGTTGTTAAAAAAATCATGCAAATCTGGAATGATCTCCTCCTTAAAAAAGTGTTTTATTTACACTGCACTGATTCACCCCTTTCAAATGCATAGCTTCTAATAGGAAGAGTTAGAGGCATAGGTACCACAAATTGTGGTTTAACAATGTACAGGCACTATATCTGTTTATCCAGTTGTACCTGAAATCTGCTGATACCCCAAACCAGCTATACTAAAGCAAACTCTGGGGGGAGGGGTGCATCTAGATGGGAATATATAACAACATATATTAGAGCCTAACAGGATATTTGGGTTGTGCTTTTGGCCAGCTGACTGGCACATGGGAAAAGTATATAAAGCCCATATCTAACTACATATCTTCAAGTTTATCATCATGGCACAAGTTCACAAAGATGCATAACTGGGAAAAATGAGCAACTGCACTGTTATACTATGTAAAATCAAGTCAACCATTCTGCAGCTTCCTGGCTGTCTCTTTTTATGACCAGAAATACTTAAAAAGGAAACCTCAAGTGTGCTGAGGTAATTATCAGAACATTTGGGTACCTCTGTTCCTGAATATCAAGTATTAGGGCTCATCTCCACAATCTCATTTTGCAATAAGCACATAGAGCAACTCAAGATAGACTCCTTATTAGGCGCTGAACTCTTAAATTCAAGGGGGTGGGTGGGCTCTAGATTATCCAGGGCTGAGCTGCTCTATGAAGGGTCAAAATTTACAACTCTAAGTCTTATCCTGGTTCTGGGTACATTTCAGTTCTGCTCCAAGTCCACTTTGCTCCAATTCAGCGATGACAGACATATATTTGAATTCATTTGGTCTGAGGTTAAAGGTCTCCACTAAACCATAGGTCTCTTTCCGATCAGTGCCATAGAAGAGCTGGACTTGGTTGGCAATGCACTGTGCCTCAGCAACATTCTGAAAGGTAAAAAGAATTAAAGTTTTCTCCTTGTATAGGGCCACAAAACTCTGAGTCTAAGTTCTGTGGTGGTTGCGAGCTCCTAGGAATCACTGCTTCCGAAAGCTAACTCTGATTTCCCAAGCCTTGGTTAGGTGTTCCTACTCCATAAAACCAAATTGTCCTATGTTTATTACTATAAAAGTATTTATCACACTGTATTATATTTGTCCTTTTCCCCGCTCTTTCTGTCTTTTTTTTCAAATTCCTCAAAGATATAGACCAGGACTTGTTTTATATTTCTGCACACAGTGACATCTGGTGAATGTTTGCTGAATAAACTAATGCATATGTTCACAATTTCCTTCTACATTCAATTTCTAAATAACTGTTAAATATATCTACAAGAGAAAAAAAGAGCAAGGGTTACCCAGGTCTGAGAACTACTCTGTAAGTACTAAGTTCTTGACTAACCAGACTTACACTTGAATAAAATCTGTTACTGATACCACCTCAGTGTGAAAAATAATGCGAAAGCTAGTTGTGATAGTTTCAAATAAAATGTGTCCACAAATTGTAATATACTTCTCCCTTTGGTGGAGCATTTCATTAAGGGAGGGTGCACTCAGTGACTTGCTGCTAACAAACAGACTAAGATGAAATGATATGGAAGGATTACTGCTATTAAGACATAAGAGATTATAGCTCTGTCTTGGTTCACTCACCCTTGGGAAAGCCAGCTATTATACCATAAGGACATTCAAGTAGCCCTATGGAGAACCCAATGTGGTAAGGAACAAGGTTTTTGCCAACAGCCATGTGAGTGGAGCCAGAAGTGAATCAATCCTTAAGTTCAATCTGCCTTTGATGCCTATAGTCTTAGCCAACATCCTAACAGCAACCTCATGAGACTTTGAGCCAGAATTACCCTGCTAAGCTGCTCCTGAATTCCTGCCCTAAAGAACTATGAGGCAATAAAGGTTTGCTGTTTTAAGCCACTAAGTTTTGAAGTAATTTGTTATGTAGCCAGTTATAACCAATCTACCAGCAAAACCCCAGAGAGAGAAAAGTCTATCTTCTCTAAAGGCAGAGCAGGGACATAGTGAGCACGGGACTGTGGGGCTGTGGGGCAAGGGCCACACCCTCAGAACCTCACAAAAGAATTACCTCAAATGATTCTGACTTTTATTTCTACACATTCTGCAGTTCTAGTTCACCAGAGGCACTTATTTATCATCATGATGTTAATACGGCCAAAATCAAACCTCAAAAGATACTGGAAAATTCCCATAAAAACTGACTGTTCAAAGTGTGATGTGTCTAGCTACTGAATGATGAAGATGAGTTTATAAATACTGTAGGCTGTGCTTCACCTCTATTCCCTCCCTGGGACTTTTAGGTAATTTCTCATTAGGCATTAATCTCTGAGACTGGATCTTCAATCAAAATCCTTTTCCCAAAAACCTAGCTATGTAAAATTAATAGAATTTTAAAGTTGGAAGGAGCCTCAGAGATCATCCAGTTCTCATTTAATAGGCCAGGAAACCAAAGTAGATGGGGTTCAGGGACAAGGCCAAGGTCATGTAGTTGGCCAGTGTCAGACTTGAATAATACCCAAGGGTGAGTGATCCAAGACAGAGCTATAATCTCTTATGTCTTAATATCAATAATCCTTCCATATCATTTCAATACATTTCCCTACATTTCACTCCACTACTGTTTCTGATAATTAAGATTATGATAGAGGCCACTAACTTTACTTTATCAATTTACCTTTCTTAAATACAAATGTGCATCAGATGCAAACCCTAAAGTAAATGCACTGCCACATGAGGCAGTTACTACCATTTTCTGAGCCCCAGAGTGGTAGGAATTCTGATATCAATCTTTTATTTGAGGTGGGTTGGGCAGGGGCAAATTTAGCTGTGTTCATTCTAGAACAGTACTATCCAAAATATTCTGCAGAATCTTAAGGATTCTGTGGAGGTGCCTCAGGTCCCTTCCTCTCAGTTTTAGCTGTTATTTCCTGGGATTTTACATAAGATTTTGTTAGGATAAGGGGTTCCTCCCACCACTTTAAAAAAAGTTTAAATGGTGTGTAGGGAGGTAGGTTATAGGGAAAGAGGTAGACATCTCTCTTTCTCTCCTGGAGGGTTATGGAAAGCATCCCTTACTCCTTATTCACTCAGCATTTTATTCTCTTGATCTTCAACATAAAACATTGGTTTCTTCCCTTTCCAACACCCACAAAGATAAATATACTAACTCTTTGTGATGTTCAATAAGAAGGTATTATTAACAGACTTGATTTTTTTCTCTTTCAATTTTTTTGTATCTGTTATGATTTGGATCTGGAATTGTCCTCCTAAAAAATTCATGTTTTGAAAGTCTGGTTCCCAATGCAGTAAGGTTCAGAGACAGGGCTTTTATGAAAAGACTGGATTATGAGAGATGTAAGCTTATCAGTGGATTAATCCATTTGATGGATTAATAATTTCAATGGACTACTAGGTGGTAAATGTATTCAGGTGGGGTGTGGCTGGAGGAAGCAGATCATTGAAGGTTGTGCCTCTGGGGACTATATCTTGTTCCTGGCTCCTTGTTCTCTCTTTCTGCTTCCCAACTGCATGATCTTCTGCTTCACTTCAGGCTCAAAGGAATGGAGTTGGCTAAACATGACTGAATCCTCTGAAACTGTCAGCTAAAATAAAATTTTCCTCCTCTAAATTATCCTTGTTAGGTATTCTGATCATAGCAACAAAAAGCTAACTAACACAATATATATTTACAATCAATGTACCAAGTCCTGCCCATATTTTTCCCTCTCCATTTCTGCGGTCTTTTTCTCTCTTCCACCTTTACTAGTACTGCTCTAGTTCAGATCTGCACTATCTCTGGCCCAGACTATTCCAAATGTCTTCTAAATGATCACACTGACCAACTAGAACTGCAGAATGTTTAGGAAGCAAATAATTAAGGTTAGTGGTCTTAAAACCTAACTCTTCATGGGTTACTCTATATTAAACCCTTTAATAACTCTTTTCATGCCTTTAGGATAAGGCCAAACTTCTAAACACAGTCCTACAAACCTCCTTAAAAAATATGTATTTTATATATATATA